TGTGTGTGTGTGCGTGTGTTTGTTTGTATGCGTGTGTGTGTGCTCAGTTGCTCGATTGGTTCAGGGGATCTCGTAGTCGAGCAGTCTCGACTAGAGCTTTCTTACTTGTTACTTCAGCTCTTTTTGCTAGGCCGACTCTTCCAATTACTTTACATATATTCATATTCACAAAAAACAATTCACGGTTTACATAATAACAAATATTTAAGCTGCAATATATTGCTTTAAAGAATTGAGTACAACCACAACCATTTGTAATATTTCAAAAGCAAGTGGAGCAAGTGGAGCAATGCAGACTTTTTATAGCCCTTTGAAGCCTTGAAGCACTTGTCTGTGTGGGCCACTAGTCAGGGAGCTCTTGGGTTTAATATTCCAGGAATAAAACAAGCTGGCGACCCTTCAGTTAAGTTTGTTTATACGACTGCCTGCACTCGAGAATGTTTGTCCAGTCATCGTGCTCTGGAGTATGCGAGTGGATTGCGTTATTAGCACTCGTAAACAGAAGTGAAAAAAAGCAAAAATTTAAACTAAAATCACATATTTTATATACCTAGGTGCACACACCAAACTTGACATAGTCTGCAAATTATTTGATAAGATTTACTCAGCTGAAATCAAAGGACTATAAAGTGGTTGAGCTTTAGGCCAAACGCCAGTGATAAAACTGATTTGACTTGTTTCCCAGTCACGAGTTATTTTTGTTATTCGCTTTGCGTGGATTCCCCGTCAGGTAAGTGCCGGGAACATAAGGAAGGGCGTGTTCCATCCACATAACATTCACATCGCTAATATTGTTTTGGCAACTTATGATGGCACATGGTGTCACTTGAAAGGGACCCACAGTTCCGATTTCTATCAGAAAAACAAGCACTCGACTCTTGCTTGGCAACGATGGAATGCAAAACTAGAGTACTTACTATAGAACGTTCTGAACATAGTTTTGTTTATATGTGCAACAATCTAATCTCTGGCTGTCGTAACTCACATTCTTGTGACGACACAGCACCAACGATAAGGGAAAGTGCGGGAGGCAGAGGAAAAAAGAGGGTATCTTTGCAATTTTGCAAGTAATCATGCCTAATTAGTCACCTGGCAACAGCTCTCAATAAGGTTACCTGTAATACTGACCATTAACTAACCTGTAGCTAACTGACCTTTGCAATAAGTCAGCTCTGTGATGGATTAGCCAAATCAGATGGGTCGGCGTTCGACATAGATGTAGTGCAAATAATGGCAGTGATTGGGAAATTAATTATATTTTTATTCACTATCAAGATTGCGCATTACTCATACGTATTGCCTAAGCGCCATGTCGCTTGCCTTTATGACTCGGCGCGGTCAGAAACAGAATCTGATAAAAACTAAACCTTGATAATTGCAGGGGTTGCCAATGACCAAAGGCAAAAAGCCGAGCGTTCATTGTAAAGTGATTGATTGATTCATTGCTGGATATGGCATTTACATTTGTCTATCGATAAGCATATTTATAATCGATAACCGTTTCAAAGATCTATGCAGCTATTACAGCCATGCAATCTTATTAATCATCCACTCTAGACTTTATTATATTTAATAAATTATTTCAGATTTGAAGCATATTATTGAAACTAAAATAAAGTGCAAATATGGGCTCGACAAATATTTTTTTAGCAACTGGCTCTTCGATATGAGACTTGGCCCTACTAGCTTTATTGAGTACCATATATACAATGTATTATTATCAAATAGAAACTTACGGCCTTGGCAATTATGAAAACATAATTAAACATTAAAGATTGTTTGAACGCCCTCTTTGGGCTAAACAAATATCTAAAATAATAACAAAATATAAGAAAAAATAGAAAAGAAAAAAGCAATATTTTGACCCACAACTTTCCTAATTAATATGAGGAAATGACTTATAGAACTCTCCATATGCATGCTAATTTCTCGAGCAGCTCCTTTCATTTCATTTTGATATACCTTTACGGTATATTGTACATAGAAACATACATTAAAGAGAGATTTTTTTGTAACTCTGAGTCTAAGATTTGATAATATAGTTAATCTTCTGCTAATAAGGTTCGAGATTATTTCCTGCGGCCTCACAGCAAGGGGGCAATCCAATATCGAGTGTCCGCCAATCAGCCAACCAAGGGAAGTCAGCTAACCAGATCAGGGAGGGCAACAGAAGGAATCATTGAAATGAGAAGCAAGCAGGAGTTGTTGTTGTCGCAACAGCGCTTGTCACACTGCCAGACGTCAACCAGCAGTTGCCCAGACAATAGTCCATTATCGAGGATTACAAGGACGAACCGAGTGGGCATAGTGCTGGGAAAGGGGCAGGCGTACAGGAGGAAGAGCTCTAGGGAGGGGCTGTGACAGAAAGTGCTCAATGGCAGCGCAGAACAATGAAGGTGGACGCATGTCCATGTCGATGAATTTCGCACAAGGATTGCCAGTTGCTGCAGTGTATGGAACACTTTGCGAGCTGCTCAGCCACTGTCAATCAGCGTTCAATCAAAGGTTTTTCGGCAACTTCCTGAGCCATGAGTTTGCCACCCACACAAGGCATAGGGCACAGGACACAGAACGAAAGACCCAAGACACAAAACACATTTAGCAGACATAGCGGAAGTTCCTGCATGCGGGCCCTCCTTTGTTCTGACCCTAATCGCTTTAAACTGTTACACACAGACCCACACACACACGCATACTTACATACACACACACAGTTAGGGGTTGCTCCCTGTTTTTATTGCGTGGGCGTTTCGCCAGTTTTATGTACAATCCGGAACTATTGCAGTTTTCATTAATGAGAAGCGCGTGTCCATAGGACACCGAGTTTATTGTATCCCATTTGGAATGTAGCACGAAATGTGTTAATGGATGATTTTAATGGGTGGAACAAAAAAAAATAGTTCTCTATAAAACTCGAATTTCCAAGTTTGTCTTTTATATTTTATTATTCAAACAAGGGAAATAGATTCCAACAAAATTACTTTAAGATTTGCTTTGCTTTATTGAATTTGTTGAAGTGTAGAGTAAGAACAACATATTCCTTGAGACCATTCATGAGATTTAAGTCATTCTGATTATTTGAAACCATAAAAACTTCACTAACAAATATCAATAATATCATAAAATCTTCTAAAGATAACTTATTTGGATTTCGCTTATTTATAGGTCTTTGAGTTAAATTAAATAAGTTAAATTCTTGGTGCAAAAAATAAAAGCATATCATTTTCTCATGTTAATACACACACTTTAGTACATATAAATCCTCCGACAAATTAATGTAAATTTTAATTTAATAGCGTACAATAATATTTGTATATAGTTTAAATTTAAACAATTTGTATTTATTTGCATAATGGCGGTTTCAATCATTTTCTATTTCCCTTAACCCTAACACAAAATTAATAACCAAAAAACCATTTCTCAATCGCTAACGTAATTTCGGCTTTACTTTACATTAACATTTAGCTTAACAGCGCTTGCGCATGTTCAGTCACATCGCAACAACAGTAGCGACCGCTGCTGCTTTTAACGCTCATACAACAGGTTCGATGCCAGCAGGTCTGTTATATTTACGTATTCTGTAGTCTTAGCTGTAAAGCATAGCTGTTAAATAGGTTTTCTCGCATGCTACATCAAAATGTTAAGCTGTCCGCTATGCTCTTTCGGGTTGGGCACTTCGATTAGGTTGTGCGGGTTGTCACATTTTGATAAGGTTTTATATAAGACTCGATAAGATTTGAATTGAATTAAAGCTTAGCCAAATAAATTAATAAAGCATTAAACATGCAATCTATCATTTTCTGTAATTTTTCCTACATGATAACGGTTGGCATACAATATGAGTTTTGTTTTTCTTACAATAAAACATTCGCTTATTGCTTATCTTGGAAATAAACATCAATCTGTGATATTACAAAAATATGTTTAAAAAAACTATGTTAACAATAGTAATAATAATATGATTATAAACTAAAATTTATAAATAAAATAAAAATAGATCATTGATTACTTTCATATATTGACCTAGTAAAAATATCGAATCTGAAACAAATATAAACTATCAGATATTTATGATGTGTGTAGGTTCTCTTTGGATCAAACTCTCATTGGCCATGCTGCGGGGCTCGACATGCAACATGTCTGTTGTGCAGCTGTCTGCCACAAACTCTCGGTTGCTGTTGCTGCTGCCTCTGTTGCTGTCGCTGGCTCTGCCTCTGCCGCGGGTGCTGCCAGTGTCGGTCGCTTGCTCTGTTGGCCGTATCCGTATCCAACAACAACAACAGCAACAAGAAAATGTCGCACGTTTCGTTTCGGTTAGTCTCGATAATTCAATCGCCCTGCAAAGACGTTCAACGTCGCTGCCAACTCAACTGCGGACTTCTTTCTCTCTCTGTCGCACGCGCTCACGCTCTGTCTCCACCTGTCTCCTTCTGTCTTCATCACTCGCTGGCACAGTCTCCAGCATTTCGTATTCGCTCGCGAATTCACCGTTACGCACGCCACATTTGCGAATCAGGTGGCAACGCTAGCGCCTATAAATAGTTCATTAAAGTAAAAACAAAGCAAAACAAAATAAATTAATACGTGACAGCCGCTGCGAATTGTTTGTCAAAGCGGAAACGGAAGCGCCTCTCGCGCCCTAGCCTCCCCCCGCCCAATGTCCCGAGCCCGTGTGTGGTGTGTATGAGTGTCTGTGCATTGTGCATTGTGCCGCCTGAAATTGTTGCTGCTGTTCTGCTGTTGTTTTTATTAGTTTTGTGCATGAGCACACAGCAATTGGCGAGAATAAATAACAAGCGATCGAACGCGATCAATTTGAAATTCCTGGCAACAGCAATCGGATTTGTCTATTGATGACGCCCACTTTGCCGCTCCCCCAGCTCTCAGTGAAACCTCAATGTCAGCGTTATCTAACGGCGTTGGCAAATTGTTAAACGTGGCCGTGGGCAACACCGCAAGCAGGACGAAATTTTAATTTGCTGCTCAGCTGGCAGTAAATGGGTTAAAATTATGTACATTAATCGCCGAATGAATGTCGAATCAGTTAAAAAGACTGCTCTTTTTTATTGTAAGTATACTTATAGCCAAAACGATATGTATAAAAGTACATATATAGTGTTAAATCAAATTGAAGTGCGGAAACTACAATATAGACAGCTTCAATAAAGACAACAACAAAATAAAATACAAATATGATTACTTTCTAGAATATTCTGCAAGTTTTAGATACTACCACCTTATAGATACTATTTACCGTTAATTCGATTAAGTCAGGAATCACGACTTTGAAAACAAAATTCTAGTTATTTATTACAATACTAACATTTTCTATATAATGTATGACAAAAAAAAAAAAAAAACAAGTAAGAAAGCTCTAGTCGAGACTGCTCGACTACGAG